TAAATATATATGCACTTAGGAGTACCCTATCTATTTTTGGAGGGCGATAGCCCGATTGCTTCCTACCGACAAGCAGAAAAAAGTGTTGGGGGGGGTATGCTTGAACACTGTGCGATCGGGAGACTCCCATTGGTACCCAACCATCCCATAACCGTCTCAAACATCCCTCGCTGTCTGCATCCCTTCTCCCTCCCTCCCTCCCTTTCCCCACACCTCCCTACTTGCTTACATGTGGAAACCCCCTCCCCCTCCTGCCCTCACCTGTTGCTTTATCCACCCCCCCTCCGACTTTTGCGCCCCCCCCTTAGTCGCCCCTTCCTCCTTATTCCCTGTTGTATCCCCTTCGCTTGTCCCTTGCTGCCCATGTCTTTGTGCCCTCTCTGTATCCGACTGTATTCGCAACCCTAAGGCTGCAGTATAGTAGGCTTCGAGAGTCCGTGTCAAGGTCGCACATTTTTACTAGCGGGGAACTGGCGCACAAGTGGGTTCTAACGGGTTGAAAGTTGTTGGGGGACCGGTCCAGCGCGTTTTTACTGACTACCTACAACTATGGCCCGTGAATTGACGAGGTAGCAAAATTGAAGGACTGGTCCTCCCTTGGATGTGAACTGCAAAAGGGCCCTCAGGCCCAGGCATTGAGGCCCGTCTTCTCAACGTTGGGAAGACGCGGGCTGGCACAGCGAAACAAGCGTTAAGTGTTTTTTTGTGCTCGGAGGAATTTGCAGAAAAATCTGAAAATTTGAGAATCCATAAATTAGGTCATGGTCTTTCCAGAAAAACATTGTCCCGCCGATTTGACCCATATTCCATTTTTGCCACTCAGCCATGTGTGGGCCAATGGAAAAAGTACTCCAACTTCAGTGATTTTCCACACTCAAAACAATGCGTGAAAAAACCTGAGAATTGCGGTGCTCGTAGATTTTGTTGTAATCTTTCCAGGAAAAATATTAAATAAATTTAAAAAAAATCATTCCAACTGCGAAGTAGATCCCGGCCGCAATTTGACCCTTATT